AGTGCTTTCCTTGTAATACAAACATCTTGCATATGCTTTGAGGTGTTGCAAATCGACAAAATTCAAAGGTCAGTTCAATTTGTTCTGGTGGTATCACATATTCAATACCGTTTAGACACAATGAGAAGCAGCTATGCTCACCCAGCTTGTATTCCCAGTTTTGTTATAAAGCAAATGTGATGAAAGTGATACTGCCGAGCAAAACAAAGGCAGTTATTTGTAGCTTGAATAAAACCAAATGCTGGAAGTGGAAAGTGATTTGGGCCGTCTTTCTCTGTGTATTTTAAGGCAAACACGGGTTGAAGGAATCTGGTTTTTATTAAAGGAAGAAAATGTTTAAATGCCCAAATATACACAGCTTATATGGGACACAGTACTGTATATGTCAGTGTAGAGGAGAGATTTTCAGTGGTTTGTTTTGCTGTCTGAAGTCTCCATTTCAGAAATTAAGCCTGATCACAGCAACAGAAAAATGTCTCTTGTGGTGGTGCAAGATGTGATTGCAGGAATTGTGTGCCATTTCCTGTGTGCTGCTTTGTTGAAAATGCATAAGCAATGGTTTGCAAGGATCATGATTCTTCCTGGCAGTTCAGAATAAGATGCAGGTTGAAAATATGTTGTTTCTTAAAACAAGTCAGTACAAGGAAAAGAAGAAGAAAAGAAAGTAGTATTTGTAAATAAGATGACTATAGGGTTATTCTTGTTTATGTTGCCGAAACATTGTGATGTTACAGGTTCAAACACCAGAAACAACAAGTCCTTTTTAATTTTAACAAAGGAAAAATGTCTGCTTCTCTATCCTTTTATATACAGCCATCTCATAGTGTATCTTATAAAATGTCACAGACATCAGCACTATTGCAATGAGACTGCAGTGCTGATTGCTGATAGTTTCTGCAACACTAACCGTGGTCTTTAAAATGACACTACATTGGCATTAAATGACAAATATACTCTGAATAAAATACGTAACGTGCAATACTCTATAGGAACTTTTTTCTAAAGTTAAATGTCATGGTTAACCACCAGAGCCATTGGGCTTATTAATCAATACACTTAAGATTCTGGCTTTTTAAATGTAAACCAATGGGAATTTTTAGTAACATCTAGTACTCACTTAATACAGGAAAAGCTCCCTTGCTCACCCCTCCTTCCAGTAAAGTTATGGTGGTCCTTGAGGACAATTAGCCTCTAAGCTGTATGAAAAGTATGAATACAATACAAGACAAATTCATTTACACACAACAATAACCTCCTTTTCTTCCTTGAACCTGTACATTTTACCTGTGCAAGTCATTAAGTACAAAAATACATCTGTCAGTTTGTCAATTCTGTGCTGTTATAGAAACACGGCAAGCAGGCTGTCCACTCCGATGTACGTATGAAAATGGCAAATTTTAAGTAAAAAATTAAAACATAAATGTAGTCAGGTAATTTGATTATACTTAATAATAGTATATTTCATATCTTCCAAGATTGTTCTCACAAATGCCATTAAAAACTACACACAGCATATTTAAAGCTATAGGGCTCTATTTTCGTGTACCCCGGTGAGGCAGCGGAGGGTGGCAGGCCCCGCGCAGTTGTATTTTCGTCTGGCGGAGCCCAGCGTACAGCCAGTTTGTTTTTTTCGTGGACTGAGGCACACTGAGATCCGCCAAGCTGGGCGTGGTGGCAAGGCAGAGGGAGGTGTGGACAGAATCAGCGCTGAAATTGCGCTGAAAGCTCGCCGATTCAAACCTGGTCAGCTTTCAGCGCAGGCGAAACGCAGCTGGTCTAGTGGTATTTTGGTAGACCAGCGGCATATCGGCATACGTCACCGATGCCTCACCGGCAGGTTTCCACAGTGTCAGGCACATTTCGGTGCAATAGATAATCAACAACAACTAATAATCTGAGTCAGCACATACATTTAGATCTATATAGATATATTCTGATGTATATCTGATCTGATGAGCGTGTTTGGCACGCGTTTGGAAACACAACCTGACCGAATCAACACAGCTGAAACCGCATGAAACCTGATTTACGCCGCGCCTGCGCCACGTCTCTGGCGAAGAATGAAAATAGAGCCCATAGTGTGTAACATCCATCGCCCCCTAGAGAATTTGGACGTTTTTGGCACTCTTGACTCACCACATACTACTCGTCACGGTACACAGACTGTGACTGTCTACACAACATGTCGGCTACTAAAGTTACTCATCACAGAACACAGACTCCCCACAGTAAGTTACACACTGCAACACGGGCTACACATCTTCTAACTTACTGCTGGTTAGGCTAACGTCACACAATGTGGCGAACACCAGGCTGCTAACAATACGTTACATTCATAGCACCATTTCTAAGAATATAATAAAGTACTCAGTCGAGTACATGTAACAGCAAAACATCCTGCTTGTAATGAAAATACTTATTTACTTATCCAGCAGTATCAAGACAACATCAATGTCAAATCTCAGACCAATCTCCTCCTTCAGGGCTCTCCATCGAGGAGAGGCGACGCCAATGTAAATCTGCATTAGCCTTCTCCGTTTGTCACTCTCTTTCTTCGCCAACAGACCTTCTCCCAAATGGGAAGGCCTTTTCTTTCTTTATAGTAGCACCCACTTCTGAAGCTCTTGGTTGCTTCTTCGGGTTCTCCGCCATGTTGCTTCTAGCAGCGCTCTCCTCCCCCCTCCCTTCTCATTGTCAGGTAAAACCAAGTAGAACATGTTATTTTCTGTGCACCAGCGCGGGAATGTCGCCCTTACACCAAATACTAAAAGAACAAATACTGAAAAAATACTGCAAGGTGTTAGAGGAGCCGGACAGCTTGATCAGTGTTGTATCATCTCCTCTTTTAGTGGCTTGGGTGAAACGGATATTTACAGACACGTAGATCATACGCACTATAGCGTTAATACTGTTTGTACAGAATCACTCAGTCACTGACATGGTGGAACATTTCTAACCTTTAATGAAAATGCACAATATAAAATATAGAACATGATGTCTATGGACAGATGAAGACTTCAGATGAAATATTGTATTCTAAAGTGTGTAGCCTACTCTTTTGATTGATAAAATATGCTTCACATTCTGGTAGAGCTGTCCGCAGGACTATATGACTTTATGATTGAAATGTATTGTGGGAAAAGTACCAAATTGATCTGGATATATGCTCTTTATCCTAGATCTTCAAAGTGTGATACTCTTATATTTGGGGACTAGAATTTTAAAAACCAATATTCAATCACAACAATGGCTGGTGCCACAAATCTTTGAAGTGAGGCAGTTACTGGTGTACAACAGGAGTCATGGTGACGCCTGGGACAAACTGGCTCAAAATTCATCCAAGTTGACTACACTGAAGTGAAATTATGAAGATGATTGTAGAGTCAAGGTTAAGAGTGCAGCAGAGACATTATCAATCAAGCACCAAAGAAAAAAAAAAAAAAAAAAACATGCTGTCACAGGGTGTAAGAGCTGAAGATAGCCAGCCCTGAGAGATTGTCTGAAATGCTCACTGCTGGAGAAAATCTTACCTCAGTCTCCTAGTGACTGCTTCCAAGAGATTAACAGATTGAAGGTACACTCATTATCAGAGCTTTCTTTAAGCTGAATGCCTTAAAGATTAATTCAACTGTTGAGGTATTTATTTTTATACTGCAGACAGATGAGACAGATGGTCTAATAACTGAAAAGCTTAAGGTTGTCTCTAATTTAATGATACTGACATGTGATTATGTCTGGATTTCATTTAGATGAGTCAATTAAAATCATTAGACACCGTAATCACAAATTTATTTGAGAGGTGTTCAGAACAGTAGGCTAGACCTCATTGTATTCATCCATCCATCTGTCCATTATCTGCTTACTTTGTTCTGGGCTGCAGGAAGACTGGAGCCTATCCAAGCTGTCACTGGGTGAGAGGCATATCTTAGGCCTGTGGGAGGAACGTTAGAGTTACAGTTATGAGCTGTAATACTCACACATAAAATAGATTTAGAGTCAAGTTGCACCTTTGTTTTCGACAGGATCATGTCTGCCCCGACTACAGTAGGTGGGAACACGCCCCCTTTCAGCTCATTGCGACTGGGCTGTCTCCTGGCTGACCTTTACCTTCCAAAACAATCAACAAAATGAGTTAGCAAGTTGCTCATGGGAAGTACGTTGAACGATGAAAACACAGTCACTTTTACAACTCTTTTGCCTTTTGCCAACCTTTTGCTTATATAATACAACAGTTTTGTCTATTTTTACCTTCAAACTTTGTCTATCCAGGTTTTGTTTACTACAATACATTCACACTATTTAAATCCTGGGCCAGAGCACAGCATGCTAACCCTGAAACATACACACAATGCTCAGGCCATTTTCAGTCTGATAGAAGACAATCCAAGCCAACCCCATTATCTTGATTTCCATGGTGTAATTTTAAAGTCCAGTAATAGTTGGACTGATACAAACAGTATATTCACCAGGTGAGCTACGCAATTATTCGTACGTCCATAGGCTGTATCAAGTGTCAATCATAGCAAACATGAACCCCCTAATGACTTTTAAAAATGGAGCAGTACAGAAAAAAAATTGGACTTGAGCACAAACCAGTCTTACAATAACTACATGTCAACATCACAAGCAGGGTGTAGAAAAATGTATGTTCTGTGTAATTAATTTCTAAAGTTTGTCCACAGCTCCATAAGGATGGCTGGAGGAGGCAGGATTTATGACCTGTACTGCAGCCCGTCACCAGAGGGTGCTGTTCTTGTGGTGGCTTCACCCAGTGAGGAGGCAGACAGTATCCATTCTATATACATTCTATGGGCTCTATTTTCGTGCGCGCCGGTGAGGCGGCGGAGGGCGGCGAGCCCCGCGCAGTTGTATTTTCGTCTGGCGGAGCCCAGCGTAAGGCCAGTTTGGTATTTTCGTGGCATGAGCCGCACGGAGGCGAGCCGAGATCCGCCAAGCTGGGCGTGGTGGCGTGGCAGGGGGAGGTGTCGACAGAATCAGCAGGCGCAGTGACATTTTCGTGCTCGCCAACGGCGTGTAAAGTGCGCTGAAAGCTCGCCGATTCAAACCTGGTCAGCTTTCAGCGCAAGGCGGAACGCAGCTGGTCTTGTAGTATTTTGGTAGACCGGCGGCGTATCGACATACGTCACTGATGCCTCACCGGCAGGTTTCCACAGTGTCAGGCACATTTCAGTGCAATAAATAATCATCATCAACTACTAATCTGAGTCAGCACATACATTTAGATCTATATCGATATATTCTGATCTATATCTGATCTGATGAGCGCGTTTGGCACGCGTTTGGACACACAACCTGACCGAATCAACACAGCTGAAACCGCATCAAATTAAATTAAATATCTAGTAAATAAACACACATGATGAAGTTAACAAGATATGTAATTCGTCTCCCTCCTTTTCTTTCTTCCTCTTCCTCTTATTTCTCGCACAGCTCGACCTGGACACGTCTCCGTGTCCTCTGTCCGTCTTGCTGCTGCAGCTGAACAGATGATTTGTTTCAGTGCTCAGATGCGTTATCTACTTTAAGCCGACATACGGATATTATAATATTCAGTTTTGTGAACCAAATTTATTTTATATGCCAACATCTGTGAAAGAAAGAGCCAGGCCACGGAGCGCGATGCGTCATTTACGCACAGATGGTTCCGATTTTAATGCCATTTTTGGAGTTTATGTTGTGATCTGTGCGCTCAACCCACCTTTGTCACGTGAGGTTTGAATATGAGCAACTTTATGTGAGTGTCTTTATTTGTGGAAACGGGTGTTTGTCTTACCAGTGGGTCCAACATTACGCACACTAAATCCATCTGTGCTCATATGAGAGAGTGTGGAGGGCACTTGTTGAGGAGCTGCCCTCTGTCGCCATCTTGTGGCATTACTGTCTTAAGACATCTCTTGATCTCTTTGACTACTTCATGAAAATAGTAATACGCCTCGCCGGTGGCGGATTTAAAGGCAAGGAGAGGAGCCTATGTGATTGGTGAAAACAGGTCTCGGCTGTGTTAAATCAACTACACGCCCTTTCTCCTCCCCGTCTACGACTTATGGTGCTGGGAGGAGCTGAGTTAGGGAGGGGGGATACTTACGCCGGGCTGCGCGGCTCACCAAAATACCAAAATGTGCTTGGGAACGCCTTGTCAGCGCGGCGGATCTGACTGACGCTGCGCTTGCGGCACGTCTCCGGCGAGGCACCAAAATAGAGCCCTATGTGTGCAAGACTTAACTTAGATCCGGCACTGCTTTGAACTGAATGTTATCATGATATTGCAACCAATCCAACAGTTGTTAAATAGATAGTAGTAGACTAACTACTAAAGAGCCACAAGTGTGGCTAACGCAACAAGGGTGCACAAAATCTAGGATGGCTAAATTCTAACAGATCTGTAACACTGTGAACTGAGTTTTATAATCTGTATTTTTTGCTTTATTTGCTGTATTCTGTGTTCTATCTTCTGTTGTAGATGAAATAATGCAGCAGCCTACGACTCCAAACAAAAGTCAGACAGTTGGAGAACACTTCAAAGCCGTGAACAGAGAGAGTCACTTCTACCTTTAGAGGAAAGTAGAGTGGAATATTAACACAAATCTCCTGATGATCCTGAGAGAGATTATGTAATATTTGTTGTTGTGTCTTGAGTAAAGGCCAAACAAACTGAGAGAACTGAAAAACAGAAATGGAAGATATTTCCTCATGTCCTAAGGCAATCCATTTTTTTTAAACTCTACTTTGGATCTTTACAAGGAAACATAAAATTACATTGCGAAAACCTAAGTTGTGACTTTGATTCTTGCTTCCTATTCCCAAACTATTAGAAAATGTATAATTCTCAGAAACAAAACAATGTTTTCTGGTCACATTTTCACCCTTGTTCACTGTTTTGCTTAAGGACACAGCTATTAAGAGATGTTCTTAGCACCCATTGAAAGCCCTAATAAAATAAGTTAATCAATAGCATCTAATTCTCTCTCTTACTATCCCTGAACATTATGTTTAGCAGTACCTGAGAGCTAAAAACCAAATTCATTAAGGTGAGCAGTGTTTCCTGCTGCTCAACGAATCTCATTATTTGTGCTGTTTTGTGTCAGAGTGCAGTTTTTATTACATATTTTGAAGCATATTTTATCACAACTTCTTCAGTTTACAATACACCTGAGTTTACTGCATCAAACCCTCAGGTTATAATTAGGATGATGAGAACTTTTGTTTGTGCATGACAAGCACACAGTTTCATAAACTTAGACGATAAATGATGCTTCTCTTTTCTCTCCTTAAAGAAAACAGAAAAAGGTGTAACAAAAACAAGAGAAGAGTCAGCACATTTAAGTTGGATTAGGTTTTTATGTTTCTCGCTTTGAAGTTAGATTGCTCTTTTTAACAGACAGAAAAAGCGTCACTCTGAAAGCCAATACCTAAAGCAAGACAATGTGTCTCACATATTAACAAACAAAAAGAAATGTGCCTAAATTTTGGGGGGGTTTGGGCTTTTGTGCCTTTTTGCTAGGACAGTGGATAGAGTAGGAAACCAGGAAGATAAGGAGAGCAATGATTTGAACTTGCCCGGCGTACAGCCAGTTTGGTATTTTCGTGAACCCAAAAAGCTCTCTGTATTTCAGGGATTTCTCTTCATTTCCTGAAACCAGCGCTGTGCTGTAGCGTTGTGTGCATTCGGCCGCGCAGTCGCAGAGAGTCACTGTGATGACGCTCTGCTCAAACAGCGTATCCCTGGGAGAGCTACTCAATCCCTGAACGCCCATAGGCTGTATCAGGTGTCAATCATAGCAAACATGAACCCCCTAATAACTTTTAAAAATGCAGCAGTACAGAAAAAAAGGACTTGAGCACAAACCAGTCTGACAATAACTACATGTCAACATCGCAAGCAGGGGGGAGAAAATTTTATGTTATATGTAATAAATTTCTAAAGTTGGTCCACAGCCCCATAAGCTTTGCTGGCGGAGGCGGGATTTATGACCTATACTGCAGCCCATCAACAGAGGGTGCTGTTCTCGGAGTGGCTTCACCCAGTGACGAGGCAGACGGCTTCCATTCTATATACAGTCTATGGTTTGGACACACAACCTGACCGAATCAACACAGCTGAAACCGCATTAAATTAAATTAAATATCTAGTAAATAGACACACATGATGAAATGAACAAGATATGTAATTCGTCTCCCTCCTTTTCTATCTTCCTCTTCTTTCTCACGCAGCTCGGACCTGGACATGTCTCCGTGTCCTCTCCCCGTCCTGCTGCAGCTGCTGCTGCGGCGGCTGAACAGATGATTTGTTTCAGTGATCAGATGAGTTATTTACTTTAAGCCTACATACGAATATTATAATATTCAGTTTTGTGAGCCAAATTTAATTTATATGCCAACATCTATGAATGAAAGAGCCAGGCCACGTAGCGCGATGCGTCATTTACGCACAGATGGTTCCGATTTTGATGCCATTTTTGGAATTTATGATGTGATCTGTGCGCACAACCCAACTTTGTCACGTGAGGTTTGAATATGTGCAACTTTATGAGTGTCTTTATTTGTGGAAAGGGTGTTTATCTTATTAGTGGGTCCAACATTACACACACCAAATCCATCTGTGCTCATATGAGAGGACGCCCTCTGCAGCGCTTACATTGACACTTGTTGAGTGGCTGCCTTCTGTTGCCATCGTCTGTCATTACGAAAATAGTAATACGCCTTGCCGGTGGTGGATTTAAAGGCGAGGAGAGGAGCTGATGTTATTGGTCAATACAGGTCCCACTCGACGCCCTCTCTCCTCCCTCGCTATGACTTATGCCACTGGGAGGAGCTGAGTTAGGGAGGGGGGATACTTGCGCCGGGCTGCGCCGCTCACCAAAATACCAAATTGTGCTTGGGAACGCCTTGTCGGCGTGGTGGACCTTACTTACGCAGCGCCTATGCCACGTCTCTGGCGAAGCACGAAAATAGAGCCCATAGTCTTATTCCTATTTATATGTATGCATACATACATATGTATATATATGTATATATGTATATGTATATATATATATACGTGTTTGTGTGTGTGTGTGTGTGTGTGTGTGTGTGTGTGTGTGTGTGTGTGTGTGTGTGTGTATACAACACAAATATATCTAAAATTGTCTTTCTATGCCAAGTCACTAGATCCAATCAAACCATGTAATGGCCTATTTAAGTGGGAAAAGGGGGACAGATTTGTTTGCATACAGAGGACTCCTTTACTGGCCATTCTGGGCTTGAAGTGTCCCAGACGATCCCATCCAAGAGCCAAATGAAAACCCAAGGCTCCCTTCATTATTCGCCTTCAGAGACAGATCTGAAATTGCATTCTAATCTCCCCAGTGCCTTGGTTAATGATTGGCTGTTACATAAGATAATCTGCAGCTCTCTGGGGATTCTGGTGTTTTAGTGGAACCACAGAGGCTTTGAATGAATAAACTCGCCCCCTCAGATTAGTGTAAGGATGTTGCAGAGGGGTGGGAGTGTTATGAGCGAGACAATGAGAAAGACGTAGAGAGAAATAAGCACATGAAAGGTAACGGGTGGGAAAAATCAAGATGAAATCAATGTAAGGCATCTATTTCAGTTCATATATGCATTCACACACACACAAATATAGAGTGAAAAGACTGTCAGTGCTGTGCATGTGCATTCAATATATACAGCTGTCAAAGTGTTAAGGTTGTTGAAATACCCAACAAGATATTTCCAATCGTGCCCTGAAGGATTTCAAACATTTTATTGTGCATGCGTACATGTGTATGTGTGTGTGTGTGTGTGTACTGGGGTGTTGTCTTCATGAAATGGCAGCAGAGAGTGCCATGGGAAAGACCCTGCCGCTTCCAGTTTGATGCTGATACTTCACGACCCTCCATCTCTGCGTGTATGCGAATATATGTTTGGTTGTATTTGTGGTGACTGAGAGGAGGAACATTTTTGTGTCCATGGTTGTGTGTGTGTGTGTGTGTGTGCGTGCGTGCGTGTGTAAATACTTTGATCTCCACAGCTCCCTAGAGTTAAGCTCCTCTCTGCCAGACTTCTGAGAACAGGCAGCCTGTCATGGCAGCCTCTTTTAGAGCTGCCAAATCGAGAGAGAGGGAGGGGAGAGAGATGAGTGGTGCAATAGAGATACAGTTCAAAGAGAGGGGGGATTTTAATGTGTACTGCCAATATAATTTTGACATTTATAACAACAACACAAGTGAGGGTAAAAATAGAAGAGAGCATGGCAGGTTATTAAAGGCAATCGTTGCCAAATGCTGCACCAATTAGAGAGGTCAAAGGTCAGGGTCACCAGTATGCCCAATTTCTGCAGGACTGAACAAAAGAGAGACTCCTGATCTCAAATATGTCTTGTCTGTTACTCTGGAAGGCAGGATTTCGTTTGCTTTCAACAAAATGGAAGTCAAAATAACACCAACAACCAGAGGAGCCAGTTCTGAAGGACCATTTTGATGTGTTTTTCATGGGGCCCAAAATTTCTGTCAGAATGAAACACATAAAAGTGGCCCTGAATTGGACATCAATATTAAGAGTTCCTCTTTCAAACCTTCTTTTACTCTTTTAAATTGTTGTACTACAGTATGAGTCTCAAAATTTGCCTCCTGCAAAATGTAACGGCATAACTCTTCACTGGATTTCATCTGCCTGATATAATAAAGGGTGTGAAGTCTACTACCGAGATATTGGAGTTAAAAATGTAAATCTGGGTAAATAGAGACAACGCTGCACCGTTTTTAGCCATGTTAATGTTTTCATTGAACTGTGACCCTGATCTAGTGACTTACATAATCACAGAGAGCAATGTCAGCAAACAGGCTTGTGTTATGTCAAGAAGGAGCTTGGTATTGTTCTTTTAGTTTCATGGATAATAGCCAGAGAGCTAAGATGAGGGAACAACAAAGACAGAACATGTTTCTCTTTTCAGGGCATGCTCTGGCACTCTGAATCTCACAGCCTCTCCAGGACTCAGGGTGTGTTCACATAAAGCATGTTGGAGCAGATTGTATGACCTGTGTTGTTTCATAAGTTTTGTTGGCTTGGCTGAGCAGGAAGAGTGCCCGTTGAACCTGGGTGGCACCTATTACCGGAAGACTATGCATGTCTGTGTCTGTTCATTTTAAAGACAACTCTAGTGGAGTTTACTAAAGGTGTTACAAATAGTTCTAAGCAAAACTTTACCAAAATGGAGAGGCTTAAGGAGATAGTGGGATAATTCAGAATAAGTAATGCTTGAAAAGCTCAGAATAACCCAATAAACAAGTAATACACAGTGGTGTGCTCAAGCTGTTTGAAGATGGAGGCAAAAAATAAATTAGGCACCTCCTGTTTGTCATGGGACAGCAGCACCCAGAAGCTGTCGTTAATGAGGCTGACATTATTTTAAGTTTTTATCAGTTTTTTTTTTCACAGGCTCAGAATATCCAGAGGGAACTCTCTATATTTGTTATTATGTAAGGGCATTTAAAGAGCTTTGTTTCCACATTGTGTGTATTGCGAGGGCATCCAGAGGGCCTTCATTTCACATTTTACACACATTTTTTTATTTTATTTTTTACATTTCATCTACTGGAAGTGCATCCAGAATGCAGTTCTCATGACTTTCATCTTTCTACATACTTTTTCTTTCATCTACTGAAAGGGCATACAAGAGTACTTTTTACATTATATATACTGGAAGGGCATCCAAAGGGGAACATTGTCACGTTTCACCCTTTAGAAAGGCATCTTCTTGATATATGTTTCATGCATTTTCCATGAAAGGGCACCAGAGAGGACATTTTTAAATGTTTTATTTAAAACCATACTCCTGAAGCATCTAAAGCAAACTGGAGCACCCCCACCCACCACCCACCACCCTCAGTAATGTACCACTGGTTATCTGCAGTTTTTGCAGACCTTTTTACCTTTCAAGAATACAAGAATTAGGGGAAAAAAAGACTGCAGACAAGCCATCATTCTGGGTTGTTCTGACTGATTTCCGATTGGTCTGACTACAACAATTTTGCAGGATAACAAAACACTTCCCAGAAAAACCATACTTCTTTGAACAAGAAAATTTCTATTCAAGGGGGTTTTGTTTAAAAATCATCAAGTAGTCTAAAGCCAAAAGCATCAAATTCATTTTCTCACCCAGGCAAAGAAAACAAACAATACATGTGACTTGTTGTACTTTCATTTTGTCCTTGTTAGCCAGAACTGGGACACAGCCTTGTTGAGGTCTGATAGGGGCCTTGGTTTTGAAGTAGTTTCAGAGTACCATGTGTACTATAAAACTGAGCCACTACTCTCTACCCAGTCAAAACCAATCAGAACAGCACTCATGTTGTCTTGAAGCAGGCAGGCAAGTTGAAAAGAAATATTTCCATGTGCAGCAGCCCACAGAAACCACAAATCATAATGCCTGAAAAGAAGCAGCTGACGTTTGTTTCCCCCAAATGAGCCACTTCTTTTCAGAGCGTGGGCTCTCTTGAAATTCCATCCAATCCTGATTCAGTACGAGGTGCTCACTAAGCAGAACCATCTGTGTCTGAAGAATGTGAGGCTTGGATAACAGGCAGTTTTTTCCTTTTTCCTTGAAAGGGTTTTATGGAGGCTCATGTTCTGCCAAACATTCCTGCCTGCATGATTTCCAGCAAAAGCATTTCCTTGGCCTGTGTGGATTTAAAGACACATCTGTCTGTACATGGTTCCAACTGGTTTTGCTTTTTGTATTTTGAATACCTTTTATATCTCTCTGACAGAAATTGCATAACAAACCTTTAAATCAACTCATACTTAAGCCAACCCCATTCCACCCTCCCTTTCTGCCTTAATTAAATCTGAACCCAGAGAGGCCAAGGAGGCCAAGCATTTCTGGAGCCTTATGGAAAACGAAATCACCTTCTCTGTGTAATAAAGAAGAAAAATTAACTGCACAACTATGGCAGGGAAAAATGATATTGGTTTCATCTCATAACATGTCTGAAGGACTTTGCTAATTCATAACTTTAGGTAAAAATGGAGTTTGCTACGAGAAACTACTTTCACAAAAGGTCATTTACATGGGGGTCTTTATGAAGCAGGTTTACATCTACCTAGATTGGCAGCTAACCTTACACGATAGTTAATCTACTACATTTAAATCTGTAGTGAAATTCAACT